GCAATGGTTATGGCTATGGCACCAAAGTGGCACAAGCGACGATGGGGACGTCACCAAGAAGCAGAAGAAGAAGGAGATGAGCCAAAAGAAAACCGGAACACTGTGCGAGACAGGATCCATGCGTGGTTCACCTACCAGTTGCGAGACGAACTACTACAAGGTGGACAAGATCGCCCAGTTGGACAAGATCGCCCAGCTGGACAAGGTCGCCCAGCGTCGTCTGCTACCGGTTCTCAAGATGTACCTATGTCGTCAACAGACCGAGAACCTCCGCGACATCAAGAGTACGAGGACTTCGTGGAACCATCGTGGTTGGTCTGCGAGTCGAGGCCAGAGAGTGACAACGACGAAGGAGGAGCAGCTGAGTGGTATACCCAGTCGTATGCTGCTTATGGTGAAGAAGATATGGAGCAAGGACGTGGAGCCCAAGGCAACACAAACAACCAGATGCCGATTGTGCCTGGCAGGTTCTACATGATCGGGGACCCGCACAAGAAGAAGGCCTACCACACCTTTGAGTGTGGGATGATTCAGAAGTGGGTGAGAGACCTTCCAAGCAATGTGCGGGAGATCACCAAGGAGTATGCGGAGGAGAAGAAACTCAGACCGTGCAAACAGTGCCGACCGTGAGAGCAGTGAACCGTAGCATGTACAGTGCGCTTTTCTCTCGAAGTCTGAAAAGTCGCTTTTGTGGCTGTGCAATGGCCCGCGCGTTTAAATCCGACTTCGTTCTTTCGTACTTCTAGGCACAAGAAAGTCTCCCGAAGATGAGAAAAGTTAGGCACAAGCTGTTTTGGAGCCTTGGTAAAAGATGTCAGGACTAGAATAAAATCACGATGCCCCACCAAGAAGGGCCCTGACATCCGTAGGTGTACAGATGTACAAAGTACTGTACAGTGTACATAGGTCAGTCGCAGCGTGAGCGAACATGTACGATCCAGAATGGATATCGGCATGCGCTTTTATAGAAGTTTCTGTGAGAAACCTTGGCCTAAGACATCAAGGTATCTCAAGGAGGGGCGCAAAGCATTAAATTTCCCTCGTAGCTCTAGTTTTCCCGCTTGAGCGAACTGCGAGACCTGAAGGCTTTTGTGCTTGAAGTGAAAGAGTGGAGAGTTTTTGCACTTTGGCATGGCACTGCTCCTTTCCAAGGCGATAGGTGGGTGGTGACGGCCTACACTTGTCGAAATCTCGACAAAATGAAGGAATCTGATGTTCAGGCTCTTCGTGCGTGGGGTTTCCCCCTTCCCCAGCCTGCTGCATTGCCATCGCCTGAGGTGCCATCCATTCAGTCGTCGGAGACTCCAGCGGTTCCATCTAAATTCTGCTTGTGGCTTGGCTCCATTGAGCCCTCTACTAAGGCCAAGCTGTCTTCACAGTCAGTGCCCTTGATTACAGTTGATGACTTACTGGATACTTCATTGCGAAAGCGAATCATTCGCTGTGCTGCAGAGGGTGTCTTCTCTACTGTGTTCATTCGTTTCTCCGACACGTGGCCTGCTGAGCACAATGTCTGGGTGCTACAGCTCTGCAAGCTGCATTTTCTTGTGGGACAACTGTTCATTTGGACATTTCATGCTGGGACAGATGCTGGTATGATCCCCTTTTCATTCACTGTGTATCAACTGGTTTTCGTCATGTGGTGCAAATTCCACCATGTGCATTCCAGGGCTCCGCGGGTCAACCGTGGATTATGGTCTCCTCCTCAGAAGCATTCGCCTCTCTGGGTGAGGTATGCACTTGCAAACATTGCATGCATCGTCCAGGACATGCAGTCTACCCGGATTCATTGGTTGAGGCCTTTGGTAAATTTTTCATGTCAGCTGAAGGTATGACAGGAGTGCCTGGTGTTGCATTCTCTGTTCAAGATGCCTGGAACTCCATTCCATGCAAACCGGTTGATGAACCACCACATGCATGGGTGGATGGTGGGGGTTTGCGTAGTCGTCCTGATTGGAGTGGCAAAGAACGGGAAGGCAAGGATGTCATGCGAGAGCTTCGTCGCTCCCTCATGTCCTTCTGTGGGAGGTCGCATCTTCCATCCCGAATTAGGTCACGACTTTTGTCACCGGCAGAGCACAGCCTGTTTTCATCCGAGGACATTTCTACATTGCAGGGCATTTTTGGCGAGTGGCTGCGGTCACAGGGCAGTGCCCTGGTGGACTGGTCCATTGCCTCGGACCAACCTTACTGCCTCAATGCATTGTCGGCGCTTTCCTCGGCCTTGCACGATTGTGACATTTCACTCTTTGGTGCATTGCTGCAAGGTGTTCCAACCGGCTTTAAACGAGATATTCCACTATCGGGGTGTTTTGCACCTTCAGATCGCTCTGTGAGACGAAGATTCTCTTTCCATTTCATTAGAAAACTGGCAAGGAGCAGAAGCTGATCCAGTCCTTCTTGAGGAACTGGTTCAAATCGAGGTGGACAGTGGCTGGCTTCGTTGCATTGACTCTTTGGAAGATGCAAGAAAGATATGGCCCAATGCGGCAGTAGGGAAACTTAACATTGTCCATTCTGCAGGTCGTAAGCCACGACTCGTCGTGGACTCTTCCCTATGCGGCACGAATTCTGCCTGTCTCATTCCGGAGAGGACTTCTTTACCCACATTGCAGTCAGTTCAGTGCTCGTGGCCATTGCGAGGTCGCCACGAACCTGTTGCAGCTTGGTCCATTGATGTGCATACTCCCGGAGGGATAATCACCTTATTCCGTTGTGTAGAAATTTCAGTTGCTGAAGCCACCCTTCAATCGTGATTGACNNCGAAGGTTTTTTCCGTGTGCAAGATTCCAAGTTTTTCATGTGTGAATTTTACATGAACCTTTGTATCTGCTTGAGCTCTTTTCGAATTTTCAACAGTTGAAACATGTTCGCCTCATGCAGCGACACTCTTGATCAAGTGTCGTGAATTTTTGAAAAGGGGCCCTCTAGAGGCTTGTAAGAGCTTTCTAACAGGCTCTAGTCCCCTGTATCCTGGTGCTTTAGGCTGTCACAGCTCTTCGCTGTCATGACCGCTGCGCCGGGAAGCTCTAGTGTCTCGGGGCGCTGCCTCGACGATGCGGCCGAGCTGGATGAAGGCTCTGACACAGAGTCGCATCGGCGAGCAGATCTGACAGCAAGTCGCTGGGCTCTCGCTGATGTGGCGTTGCCTGACACTTCGGGGCCGGACAACGAGCAGGAGCCAGCAGCTGGTTCGGGCCTGCCTCTGCCAAAGCTGACCTTGGGACAGTTCTCACGGCGTTTCCGCCTTTGGAGGCGCAAGCGCCTAGGGGCTTACCTGGCACTTCGACTGCAGCAGCTTCGTCCTCTCTTTGGCGGTGACCTCGAAGAAGTGGTCTTGGAAGATCCTTCCCGTACCTCCGAAGCCGTAGCTGCCGGACACCGGCTTCAGGCCGAGGCCGCTGCACTGGCCAGTCATCAACGACAACAAGAACGCGTGGATATGCTGTTCGAAGTCACTGCTCAGCTCGGCCATCGCCTTGCCTTAGCGGAGATCCAGATCCAATCGCTGCAGGAGGCACGCCAGGATCCTTAAGGTAGCCTGCTCCGGAAGGCGTTTTTGGCCTACTTCCTCGGCCTTTTGGATGCTTCCCGGGGTCAAAGTGATGTCACGCTTTAGGGCAGGCTGGGCTTTCTTCAAGGTTAGCTCTATTCGGGTTCCTGCTGGCTTTGGTCCCGGAGTGCATCTTTGTTCCAGGATTGTGCGACTGGCGCTAGGGCAGCTGGCCACAGTCATGTTGCGTTCTCACAGCCCAAGCACGGGTTGACTCAAGCGGTGTGTTATGCATGCCACAAAAGCGTGATTGCTGTCAGTGTCGGGGTGCAATCCTGGCAAGTGAAGCGTTCAGAGTGAACTCTGGCTTTCAGCAGTGTGTTTGCGATGATCCCGTTGGGATCGGACATGAACAGCGACTGCGCATTTTCTGCTGCTCAAGCAAGAGCACATGTTCGGCGATCATGCGGTCAGGTCTCATGCTCTAGCGCATTTTATGTTACAACAGCTTTTGCATACATCCTAACAGGTTCAGGTTTTTTGCTTGCTACGGACACCATCTAGGTTAGTCCACTCTCTCGCCAGCGGTAGTTTCATGCGCGAGGCTCCGGCGACTGAAAGCACAGATATTCAGTCTTCTGCGGATCTCAGAGTGCAGCTTGCTGATCTGTCTGACATTATCATTCGCTCCCAGGGTCAGGTGGCACGTTTGAGGGAGGAAAATCGCCTTCTGCGCATCAGACTGGGCACTTTGGAGGACAGAGTGGCCAGGCTCGAAGCTCAGGACAGGGAAGCTCATCTTCGCTTGCAGAGCAGATTTCAGCCAAGTGACTGCGCGATTGGTTGCCTTACCACTCGGGTTATCCATTTGGGGGCCTGTTTTCAGTATCTGGTGGTTGCAATCCAGAGAGCTTTTCCTCGCCCTCCTGGCTTTTGGCAATCCCTTGAAGAAGATTAAGCCCGGGTCTTGTCTGATGGAGCCGGGTGTTTCTTCGACAGGCGAGCAACCCAATTCAAGGGCATTTGCTTGATGCCTCTGCAATTTATCCCTAGACCAGTGGGCAGCACAGGGTTCAGCCGACCCCGGCGACTTTCTTCTCCGTCTCGAAGGCCTCACATTCTTGGGATTGAGGCGTCTCCTCTTCGGGCGCCTTCACCCCGGCCGCGGTCACGCCCTGTGGTCTTCGTGTCAGCTCCGGTGCAGCCGCCTCGACCTAGGCGGGCTTCGGAGTATGTGCAGTATCCGGCATCGGGTCTCAGTGCGAGTTTCTCGAGCTCAGCGGGTTCTGGTGCATGTGTTGCGCCATCCCCGCCGGTCTTCGCTCCTCGGCTTGGCCGAGGCTTGGTGGCGCCTTACAGATCTAGGGGAACACTCGGGATGGTCACCTCAGCTGATACTCACAATCGTACTTGGGAGCTGTGCATGCGTCAATGGGCATTGATCAGACCCTTGCTTCTCCCGATTTCGGATGTTCTGCGTGAACTGGAATCATCGTCGAACGCGGACCGGCTTCTTCGCAATCTGCTCAGTTCGGTTTCGGAGAACACTTTGACGAGATATCTGGCCAGTGTCCATCCTGGTTTCTGAGGAGTTATCATTGGATCTCGGGTCTTTAAAGCAGTTCAACATTGCAGATATCCTTTTGTCTTTGCATAGGGGGGATGTTCACATCTCCAATGCTCTGAAAGCTCTCCGCTGGGCGGCTAAAGCATTGCGCCTGCGGCTTCCGGATCTTTATGGTGGTCTTCTGCTGGGTGTTGAATCTAGGGTTCTTTCGGATCGCAAGGAGGCTTTGCCACTCCCGATTTTCATTCTGGCAGCTTGGGAACGCTTCCTCTTAAGTGAGGAGGGGGAGACCGGGTTTCGATTGTTCATCGGGGGGCTCCTGATTGCGGCGAACGCCAGTTTGCGCTTCAGCGACTGTCAGCATGTATTATGGTCCTCGCTGCAGGCCGGCAGGGACTGTCTCAGGGCCATCTCTTATCGCACCAAGTCTTCTCGGGGAGGCATGCCATTTGGGCTGGTCTCGTCTGGATTCTACGGGGACACTGCTGCATATTATCACTCCTGGGTTTGCAAGTATTTGTTTCTTCTGGGTTGCGAATGGGATCATATCACGGAGCGTTTTGGGGAGACGGTCCCCGATGCTCTCTTCTTTTTGTCAGACGAAATGGAGTGGAGACCGATGTCATACGCCCAGGCGTTGTCGGCCTTCCGAGGTGCTTTAGTGGCGGCGGGGCTTTCGCCGCACGAGGCTGGCAATTACACTTTGCACTCATTGAAGACATCATTGTTGGCCTCGCTGGCTCAACTTCAGGTTTCTTTCAAGAAACGGGGCCTACAAGGCCATCATCGTTCTTCTTCCAATGGGTGTGTTTTGCTTTACAGCCGCGATGATGTTCATGGTGCTCTGTCACTTCAACAGATGTTTTGGGATAAAGTTCGTTCGGGCTGGTTGCCATTGACTCCACAAGCACGCGGCGGTTTGCACCCAGCCAAGCAAATGATGATTGAGCCTCAGGTGCTGTCTTTTCACACCTCCCCGGCTCATTCACGCTTTCCTATCGAGGACATATCGGCCCTCCCGATTGCAGCTCAGGTGGCGCCCCCGGCCCCGCCAGTCCCTGCCCCGGAGGAGGTGGAGCCCGCTGGGGATTCAGATGTGGATTCATCTTCTTCGTCTACGTCCTCGTCATCGCCATCGACGCAGCAGTCGCGCTCTTGGACAAAGGTGTCGGGGCAAGAGGCAGAAGAGCATCTTTGGGTGCAAACATCTTCGGGGTTGATTCATTGCGCCTCTCCTCATAGTGGTCTTGAGGGCATTGTTGTGGCGAGACCGGACGGCATTAAAATCAGAGTGAAGCCCCGTTGTGGTACCATTGCACGGTCTATGACCGTCTTAGCTGATCTGCCGCCAAATCCGCGTTTTTGCAGGCACAAGGCTTGCCAGGCGATCGTTTGGTCGACCTAGCTTGGTCGCATCGATTTTGGGTTGTCTGCGGCAAGTCTCTGGCGATCGATCGGAGATCGGGACCTGTTTCAGTCTCGTTTTCATTGCGATCCCTCGGTTCCTGCGAGCGAGTGGGTTCACGAGGGGGACGGCGATCGGGTACAAGATCCGGGACAGACCCGGGGCGATTCAAGCCAAAACCGTGGTTGTCAGCCGCGGGTCGCGTGGGCCTGCAGCGAGAGTCCGCATGTGGAGCCGGAATTATGGGTCGTTTCTTGCAAGTCCATCGTTCACTGCATGTGGGGCTCGGCTGTGGGGTCGTACCTTGCAAGTCCTTTTACCGCATGTGGGGTCCGCTGGGTTATCGTTCTCTGCAAGTTCGGGAGCTGGGCATTGCAGGAAAATCACGTACGACCGGTGTGTCTTCGGACCACAGCCTTGCAGTTTTTAGCACCCATCTAGCTGCAGTAGCTCGGCGGATCAGGCTCTTGGCACATGGCGACAGAGGAAGCTAGTACCCTGGATGCGGATTTGGTATCTTTGGCGAATGAGTGTCGCGTCCCACAAGAGTATCATGAGATATTCCAGGGCTTTGATGTGCCCCTTTTCGGTTGCCTAGCTTCCGAAGCATCCCAGTTGGATACGGCGTTGAGTCAATTGTTGGAAAATTCAGAGGAGCCAGAATCGGCGGCTGGCAAACTTCGTTTGCTTTCTTCCTTGCGGCTTTTGTTTGAGTCATGCAAGAAACAATCCTCGGCGGGTCCAGCAAACAAACGGCAAGAATCCTCGGAGGAGGCCCGTTCTTCGGCAGCCGGCTGGACTGAGCAGTTCCCGCCTAAACTTTCGGGCGAGAAGGTGATTTCTCTTCAAAAGGC